ATGCTGTCTTGATGAGGACAGCTTTGTAGTAGAGGCTAAAGTCTGGGATTGTGATGCCTCCTGCTTTGGTCTTCTTCTTCAAAATTACTTTGGCTATTCGGGGCCTTTTGTGGTTCCATGTGAATTTTAGGATTGCTTGTTCTAGCTTCAAGAAGAATGCTGGTGCAATTTTGATAGGGATTGCATTGAATGTGTAGATAGCTTTGGGTAGTATTGACATTTTGACAATATTTATTCTTGAAAACCACTTCTTATAGGATTAAAGTTGTCAAACAGGTGTCAACTTCCTTTAGATAAGCAGAATATTCAGTAGTTCTTCCAACTATTTTTTTAAAAAGAAACAATTTCTAGAGGCACAGCATGAAGCTATTTCTCTGCAATACGAATTTGTGACATGTATCTTTATCTTTTATTAGAGTTATATGGTATCTAGTAAAATTTCTGTTACTCTATACCCAATAATCTCATAATTATTAGTTAAATTTAATCAATTTCTGCCTCCTATTTAAATTTAAATTTAATTTAAATTGTAGCTAATTTTTTATGGAAGTAACATATGGTTGGCAGAGTACAAGTCAACTAGCATTTATTCATTACCAACTATTTGCTCTGAAAGATGGAGTTGGAAAGGAAGTACAGCTCTTAATGAGGTCGAAACACAACTGTAGAGAAAAATATATAACAGCAGAGAACAATATATATCCAAGTGCTAAAGTATGTCCTACAAAATGAACTGTAAGAGCAGTCAGAGGGAAAGATACACTGTGCTGGCATTGAAAGCTGTGAAATAGCTTAATAGTTTATCTTTTCCACCCATTTTTTATTTTTATTTACTTATTTTTTAATGCCCTTCTTATTTATTTTCTTAAGTGAACTCTACCCCCAGTGTGGGGCTTGAACTCATGATCGCAAGATCAAGAGTTGCATGCTTTAGCCACTGAGCCAGCCCGGCACCCCTCCACCTCGCTTTTTTAGATTTCATAAGTAAATGGGAAAATATTAGATATGCTTTTTTTGTGAAGGCACTCCACAAATCAGAAAATCAATCCTTGGACTATAGAGAGCTGAATATGTGTCTGTATGTGCTCACCTGTATATATTCCTAACACTATAATTGAAGGCTTTTTATTTTTTTTCTTTGAGGATAAGGATTATGTCTTAATTTTTTTTTATATCTTCGTCTCTAGAGTCTATATGGATGCTCAATAAATGGGGACATGCTACTCTATTACCTCCTTTAAAGCAATGACTGTAGCATTTATGAAGCAGGTGTTTATGTTTCTGAATCAATCTAAGTTGAAAGAATTGATTTTAATTAATCACTATTTCTATATCCTATGTTTCTGCTTAATTTTTATTCTCTGACAGTGTGAACTTAAAGCAAATAATTTAACCTCTCTTTGTGCTTCAGTTTTTATTTTAATTTGTTTTTATTGATGCCTAATTGATATTTAACATTATATTAGTTTAGGTGTACAATATAATGATTTGATACTTGCATATACTATGAAACAGTCACCACAATAAGTATTGTTTCTCCCTTCACCATATGTAGTCACATAATATACAATATAATGTTGTTGACTCTAGACTCTAGTACATTGTATCCTCATGACTTACTTATTTTTGGGGAAGTTTGTACCTCTTAACCCCTTCTCCCATTTCACCCACACCATATACCTTCTTACCTCTGGCAACTATGAGTCTGCTCTCTGCATGTTATGTATGAGTTTGGTTATATTTGTTTTGCTTGTTCATTGGTTTTTTTTTAGATTCCACATATAAGTGAAATCATACGGTATTTGTCTTCCTTTGTCTAACTCACTTCACTTAGCATTATACCCTCAAAGTCCATTCATGTTGTCACAAATGGCAAGCTTTCATTCTTTTTTATGGCTGAATAGCATTCCAATGTGTGTGTGTGTGTGTGTGTGTGTATCTCACATCTTTATCCATCCACCAATGGATGCTTTAGTTGTTTTACTATCTTTGCTATTGTGAATAATACTGCAGTGAACGTAGGGGTGCATATATCTCTTCTAATTAACGTCTACATTTTCTTCATATAAGTATACAGAAGTAGAGTTGCTGGATCATGTGGTAGTTCTCTTTTCTTTTGAGGAAATTTCATACTGTTTTTCATAGTGGCTGCATCGATCTACATTCCCACCAGTGATGCACAAAGGTTCCCTTTTCTCCATATCCTCACTAGCACTTGCTATTTCCCATCTTTTTGAAAATAGCCATTACGACAGGTGAGAGATGATATCTCATTGTGGTTTTGATTTGTATTTCCCTGATGATTAGTGTTGTTGAGCATTTTTTTCATGTGACTGTTGGCCATCTGTATGCCTTCTTTGGAAAAGTGTCTATTTAGATCTTCTGCCTGTCATTTAATCAGATTGTTTTTTTGTTATTGAATTATATGAGTTCTTTATCTATTTTGGCTATTAACCCCTTATGAATATATGACTTGAAGATGTCTCATTCAGGAGGTTGCCTTTTTATTTTATTGAGTTTCCTTTCAATTTTATTTTAGTTTATTGAGTT